CCAGGCTCGTCCCGGAACTGAGAGGTATGAGCTACGAGGAAAGGCTAAGGGAGCTGAACCTCACATCCCTGGAAAACAGAAGAGTAAGGGGTGACATGATCACCACCTACAAAATTCTCAGGGGAATTGTCAGGGTGGACAAAGACAAACTCTTCAGCACGGGAGGGACACGAACAAGGGGACACAGGTGGAGACTGAGTACCCACATGAGCCACAGAGACGTTAGAAGGAACTTTTTCAGTGTCAGAGTAGTTAACAGATGGAATGCATTAGGCAGTGATGTGGTGGAGGCTGACTCCATACACAGTTTATAATGTAGATATGATAGAGCCCAATAGGCTCAGGAATCTGTACACCAAGTAATGTACAGGTTCCTGAGCCTACTGGGCTCTTATCATATCTACATTATAAACTGTGTATGGAGTCAGCCTCCACCACATCACTGCCTAATGCATTCCATTTGTCTACTACTCTGACACTGAAAAAAATCTTTCTAACGTCTGTATGGCTCATTTGGGCGCTCAGTTTCCACCTGTGTCCCCTAGTGCGTGTGCCCCTTGTGTTAAATAGTCTGTCTTTATCTTCCCTATCAATTCCTCTGAGAATCTTGTATGTGGTGATCATGTCTCCCCTAACTCTTCTGTCTTCCAGCGAAGTGAGGTTTAATTCCCGTAGTCTCTCCTCGTAGCTCATACCTCTCAGCTCGGGTACTAGTCTGGTGGCAAACCTTAGAACCTTTTCCAGTTTAGTCTTATGCTTGACTAGATATGGACTCCATGCTGGAGCCGCATACTCCAGGATTGGTCTGACATATGTGGTATATAATGTTCTGAAAGATTCCTTACACAAGTTTCTAAAGGCCGTTCTTATGTTAGCCAACCTGGCATATGCTGCTGATGTTATCCTCTTGATATGAGCTTCAGGGGACATGTCTGGCGTGATATCAACCCCCAGGTCTTTCTCTCTCTCTGACTCTTGAAGTATTTCATCTCCCAAGTGATACCTTGTATCTGGTCTCCTGCTTCCTACACCTATCTTCATTACATTACATTTGCTTGGGTTAAACTCTAACAACCATTTGTTCGACCATTCCTGCAGCTTGTCCAGGTCTTCTTGAAGCCTCAAGCTGTCCTCCTCTGTCTTAATCCTTCTCATAATTTTGGCGTCGTCAGCAAACATTGAGAGGAATGAGTCTATACCCTCTGGGAGATCATTTACGTATACCAGAAACAGGATAGGTCCAAGTCTGCCGCCGCTGGTGATGTCTGCCGCTGCTGGTGATGTCTGCCGCTGGTGATGTCTGCCGCTGGTGATGTCTGCCGCTGGTGATGTCTGCCGCTGCTGGTGATGTCTGCCGCTGCTGGTGATGTCTGCCGCTGGTGATGTCTGCCGCTGGTGATGTCTGCCGCTGCTGGTGATGTCTGCCGCTGGTGATGTCTGCCGCTGCTGGTGATGTCTGCCGCTGCTGGTGATGTCTGCCGCTGCTGGTGATGTCTGCCGCTGCTGGTGATGTCTGCCGCTGCTGGTGATGTCTGCCGCTGCTGGTGATGTCTGCCGCTGCTGGTGATGTCTGCCGCTGCTGGTGATGTCTGCCGCTGCTGGTGATGTCTGCCGCTGGTGATGTCTGCCGCTGGTGATGTCTGCCGCTGGTGATGTCTGCCGCTGGTGTTGCATCACTCAGCGTGGAGCAGACATACTGCCTGGTGACTCATCAGGCAGTATGTCTGCTCCAGTAATCTTAATATCTCCTGGTCACCCCCCCCCCTCTACCCTTACTCATGCCCCCCCCCCACCACATGGTATGAGGTGCCTCACTCTCCACATGGTATGGGTGCCACACTCTCCACATGGTATGAGGTGCCACACTCTCCACATGGTATGGGTGCCACACTCTCCACATGGTATGGGTGCCACACTCTCCACATGGTATGAGGTGTCACACTCTCCACATGGTATGAGGTGCCTCACTCTCCACATGGTATGAGGTGCCTCACTCTCCACATGGTATGGGTGCCACACTCTCCACATGGTATGGGTGCCACACTCTCCACATGGTATGAGGGCCACACTCTCCACATGGTATGGGTGCCACACTCTCCACATGGTATGGGTGCCACACTCTCCACATGGTATGAGGTGTCACACTCTCCACATGGTATGGGTGCCACACTCTCCACATGGTATGAGGGCCACACTCTCCACATGGTATGGGTGCCACACTCTCCACATGGTATGGGTGTCACACTCTCCACATGGTATGAGGTGTCACACTCTCCACATGGTATGAGGTGCCACACTCTCCACATGGTATGGGTGCCACACTCTCCACATGGTATGAGGTGTCACACTCTCCACATGGTATGAGGTGTCACACTCTCCACATGGTATGAGGTGCCACACTCTCCACATGGTATGAGGTGTCTCACTCTCCACATGGTATGGGTGCCACACTCTCCACATGGTATGGGTGCCACACTCTCCACATGGTATGGGTGCCTCACTCTCCACATGGTATGGGTGCCACACTCTCCACATGGTATGGGTGCCACACTCTCCACATGGTATGAGGTGTCTCACTCTCCACATGGTATGGGTGCCACACTCTCCACATGGTATGAGGTGTCTCACTCTCCACATGGTATGGGTGCCACACTCTCCACATGGTATGAGGTGTCACACTCTCCACATGGTATGGGTGCCACACTCTCCACATGGTATGAGGTGCCACACTCTCCACATGGTATGAGGTGCCACACTCTCCACATGGTATGGGTGCCTCACTCTCCACATGGTATGGGTGCCACACTCTCCACATGGTATGGGTGCCACACTCTCCACATGGTATGAGGTGCCTCACTCTCCACATGGTATGGGTGTCACACTCTCCACATGGTATGGGTGCCACACTCTCCACATGGTATGGGTGCCACACTCTCCACATGGTATGGGTGCCACACTCTCCACATGGTATGGGTGCCACACTCTCCACATGGTATGGGTGCCACACTCTCCACATGGTATGGGTGCCTCACTCTCCACATGGTATGAGGTGCCACACTCTCCACATGGTATGGGTGCCACACTGTCCACATGGTATGGGTGCCACACTCTCCACATGGTATGAGGTGCCACACTCTCCACATGGTATGAGGTGTCACACTCTCCACATGGTATGAGGTGTCACACTCTCCACATGGTATGGGTGCCACACTCTCCACATGGTATGAGGTGTCACACTCTCCACATGGTATGGGTGCCACACTCTCCACATGGTATGAGGTGCCACACTCTCCACATGGTATGGGTGCCACACTCTCCACATGGTATGAGGTGCCACACTCTCCAGGGACAGGCTCTTCCGGGTCCCGCTGTTTGACAATGCTGTGTTGTGAAGATTCTTCTGGAAGCTTCTAGGGATTGTCTCACTTCCGTGTTATTGTCTGAAGATGTCTCCCCCCTCCCCCCCCCCTCCCTCCTTCCTCGTCTCCTCCACCTGTTCCTTACCTGTTTCTTCCAGTTGTGGGTGCCCAACATCTTGTTTTTTGGGGCTCCACTTTGTGTCATTTTCAAATTCATTGTTGGTCCTCTGGTATCTTTGTTCCTTTGGAGGTTCCTGTTCCTTGTATCCACGTACTGCTATGATTGGGTTCCGTATAGAGCTACATACTGGCTTAATAACACGCTGGCCATTGAGGGTATGTGGGCCTGCGGGCCGCTCCGAGCAACAGCCTGGTGGACCCTTGAGAGGCGGTCATGTGTGTGGGGGCACATGACTGTAAAGCTGCCGCCCAGTTGGGTGGGTGTGGAGCACATGACTGTAAAGCTGCCGCCCAGTTGGGTGGGTGTGGAGCACATGACTGTAAAGCTGCCGCCCAGTTGGGTGGGTGTGGAGCACATGACTGTAAAGCTGCCGCCCAGTTGGGTGGGTGTGGAGCACATGACTGTAAAGCTGCCGCCCAGTTGGGTGGGTGTGGAGCACATGACTGTAAAGCTGCCGCCCAGTTGGGTGGGTGTGGAGCACATGACTGTAAAGCTGCCGTCCAGTTGGGTGGGCCGCCCAGTGTGGAGCACATGACTGTAAAGCTGCCGCCCAGTTGGGTGGGTGTGGGGGCACATGACTGTAAAGCTGCCGCCCAGTTGGGTGGGTGTGGAGCACGTGACTGTAAAGCTGCCGCCCAGTTGGGTGGGTGTGCAGCACGTGACTGTAGGTGCAGCCTGCACATGGCCTCGATGAGGACAGGAAGCCGGCGACTTGTCAAATGTCACTCCATTTGCCCCGATCTTTTCCAGCTGTATTTTATGGGGTATGGGGTGCATAATAAGTTACTACTAACTTCCCATCACAAGTACTGGGAAGTACAGTGCCTTAAGTGTCCCTTAAGTGTACCTTGACACTGATGCTCTAACATGTTAGTCCTTAAGTGGTAATTAAGTCCCTCGAGCCTTAAATGGGTTGATGATAATTTAGTAGAGCTTGCCTTAAAGTTCTGTATTGATGCATGTTATGTCTCGTGTGTGTGTGTGTATTTACCTAGTTGTACTTGCAGGGGTTGAGCTCTGGCTCTTTGGTCCCGCCTCTCAACTGTCAATCATCTGGTGTACAGGTTCCTGAGCCTATTGGGTTCTATCATATCTACATTATAAACTGTGTATGGAGTCAGCCTCCACCACATCACTGCCTAATGCATTCCACCCGTTAACTACTCTGACACTGAAAAAAAAAATTTCTAACGTCTCTGTGGCTCATTTGGGCACTCAGTTTCCACCTGTGTCCCCTTGTGGTAAAAAGTCTGTCTTTATCTACCCTATCAATGTGTGTGTGTGGTGCATCAATGATAACACCGTAGCATATCAAGTCTTCAAAGACAGGTGTTGATATTGTAGCGTGTGTGTGAATCATCAATGTCGTGACGATATACTGTAGCGTACGAATCATCACAGATATTGTGATGATACTGTAGTGTACAAATCATCAATGTGTGTTGTTGTTGACTTTCCAGGCAAGATGAGTGTGGAGCGACGAGGGACCAAGGCGCTGGAACTATGGGCCCGGCGGGCCACCGATGGCTACCAGGGTGTCAGCGTCACCAACATGACCACCGCCTGGCGCAACGGTCTCGCCTTCTGCGCTCTCATACATCGCTTCAGACCCGACCTCATGTGAGTCCCTGTACCTTGAGGACCCGACCTCATGTGAGTCCCTGTACCTTGAGGACCCGACCTCATGTGAGTCCCTGTACCTTGAGGGCCGACCTCATGTGAGGCCCTGTACCTTGAGGGCCCGACCTCATGTGAGTCCCTGTACCTTGAGGCCCGACCTCATGTGAGTCATTGTACCTTGAGGGCCCGACCTCATGTGAGGCCCTGTACCTTGAGGACCCGACCTCATGTGAGTCCTTGTACCTCGAGGGCCCGACCTCATGTGAGTCCCTGTACTTTGAGGGCCCGACCTCACGTGAGGCCCTGTACCTTGAGGCCCGACCTCATGTGAGGCCCTGTACCTTGAGGACCCGACCTCATGTGAGTCCCTGTACCTTGAGGGCCCGACCTCACGTGAGGCCCTGTACCTTGAGGGCCCGACCTCACGTGAGGCCCTGTACCTTGAGGGCCCGACCTCACGTGAGTCCCTGTACCTTGAGGGCCCGACCTCACGTGAGGCCCTGTACCTTGAGGGCCCGACCTCACGTGAGGCCCTGTACCTTGAGGGCCCGACCTCATGTGAGTCCCTGTACCTTGAGACCCGACCTCATATAAGTCCTCACAATGCCTCACACAGCAGCCCATCCTCCTGGGCTGCTAAAGTGAATAGTACAATGGTCTACTATCTAGGTGCTTAGAACGTCAGTAATTGTACTATGGTGTTCAGTTACAACACTATTACCTAAACAGGAGGATGGTTGGCGGTAGTACACTAGTGGGCTTCAAACTGTTCAGTAGTCTCACCACCTCAACTACTCCTCCACTGCGTCAATAAGAACACATTATTGACCTGAATTTACCTGAGGGCAACTAATACTAGTGGCCTCGATGAGGACAAGAAGCTGGCGGCTTGTCAAAGGTCACCCCATTTGCCTTGATGATCTTTTCTATTTTAAAACCCAGCAGGATTTTTGGCGTTTACGGCTTCGACGGGTAGGCGGTTCCACGGATTTACAACCCTATGGGTGAAAAAGCATCTCCTGTTTTCTGTCCGACATTGTGGCTTGTTGAGCTTGAACCAGTTATTATGAGACCGTAATCCCTCAAGGGCTAAGACACATTGCCAAACCTAGAATAGATATAGATATATTCAATTGTATGAACTATTTAATGTAAATGGATAAAATTGCATATGGCATATACTGTGATATAAATCAGAAATGGTTAAACTCAAATATGTAATAAGGCCTACTATGCTAGGTTTTTGTAGTAACGATATACAGTATGCAAGATTAATGAAATGCGGTATATCACAATTAATATTTTTAGTTAATAACGTACAATGGTAAAAATTCAAAATTTGAGTTTGACAAAATCAACTGCTGCTATGGGAGTGGGATGGGACAAGTTCCCGCCAAAAGTGTCCGCCATTGTTCACGCGTCATCTTCCTGTTTTGTGAAGAAATGAAATTTAAATTACGATATAATTTAGGCTAGAAATTGCAGGCCGAGTATTTGTAGGAATGTTAGACTTTTACTGAGCCTTCAGTCATGTATAACTTTGAGAAACGTATGTGGCACAAGGGCTGAAACTCGTATTGAAGTATAGATAGGACGGAGTATGTTGTGTGGCGCAATATGTATATTCATCACATGAACCGCCACCTGCTTTTACTAAACTTTCCTCCTGTGCCAACAGCGAATTTTCGTCGTTGAAGCCGGAGAACATCTTGGAGAACAATGCCTTGGCCTTCCGCGTTGCCGAACAGCAGCTGGGTATCCCAGCGCTCTTGGACGCCGAAGACATGGTGGAGAACGATGTCCCGGACCGCCTCTCCGTGCTGACCTACGTGTCCCAGTACTACCAGGCCTTCGCGGCCCTGGGCCTCACCAACAAGAAGAGGACGGTGAACACTGCGGCGCCCCAGTCCACGGCTCCTGGCACGGTCAAGGCCAAGACCACTCCACCCCTGCAGCGGAAGGCCAAGCCGGCGGAGATCAAGACAGATAAGGTATGTCCAATAGGACTTTTCTCGGTCATTATCAACGTGTAATAATAATTTTCATTTGAGGAAAATACAATGAAACGGTAAGGAGTTAATCGTTTATTTTCATAATGCCTTAACTTTTTATTATGTCTTAAAGAATACAACATACTATTTTCTTTTTGTTTTAAGGAGTTCAACTTAATTTTGTTCTCGTGTTATGTAGCCAACAGGAAAACTAATTCTTGTCGTATCGTGTGTACTGGAAATGATTTGGGTCCTTGAGATTCAAGAGGAAGGAACATAAAACTTGGGTTCTTCGTGGCTCTCAGTGTCTTGTGAGTTTAGGAAACACTGGCGACTATGTTTACGTTTCCAAGACAATTACAATCATGACAGTGTTTCAAACACACTATCCCAGTAGACACACTGTCCACCAGTAGTCACACTGTCCACCAGTAGTCACACTGTCCACCAGTAGACATACTGTCCACCAGTAGTCACACTATCCACCAGTAGTGTCCACCAGTAGACACACTGTCCCAGTAGACACACTGTCCACCAGTAGACACACTGTCCACCAGTAGACACACTGTCCAGTAGTCCACTGTCCAGTAGTCACACTGTCCACCAGTAGTCACACTGTCCACCAGTAGTCACACTGTCCACCAGTAGTCACACTGTCCACCAGTAGACACACTGTCCACCAGTAGTCACACTGTCCACCAGTAGTCACACTGTCCACCAGTAGTCACACTGTCCACCAGTAGACACACTGTCCACCAGTAGACACACTGTCCACCAGTAGACACACTGTCCACCAGTAGACACACTGTCCACCAGTAGACACACTGTCCACCAGTAGACACACTGTCCACCAGTAGACACACTGTCCACCAGTAGTCACACTGTCCACCAGTAGTCACACTGTCCACCAGTAGACACACTGTCCACCAGTAGTCACACTGTCCACCAGTAGTCACACTGTCCACCAGTAGTCACACTGTCCACCAGTAGTCACACTGTCCACCAGTAGACACACTGTCCACCAGTAGTCACACTGTCCACCAGTAGTCACACTGTCCACCAGTAGTCACACTGTCCACCAGTAGTCACACTGTCCACCAGTAGTCACACTGTCCACCAGTAGTCACACTGTCCACCAGTAGTCACACTGTCCACCAGACACTGTCCACCAGTGTCCACCAGTAGTCACACTGTCCACCAGTAGTCACACTGTCCACCAGTAGACACACTGTCCACCAGTAGTCACACTGTCCACCAGTAGACACACTGTCCACCAGTAGTCACACTGTCCACCAGTAGTCACACTGTCCACCAGTAGTCACACTGTCCACCAGTAGTCACACTGTCCACCAGTAGTCACACTGTCCACCAGTAGTCACACACCAGTAGTCACACTGTCCAGTAGTCACACTGTCCACCAGTAGTCACACTGTCCACCAGTAGTCACACTGTCCACTGTCCAGTAGTCACACTGTCCACCAGTAGTCACACTGTCCACCAGTAGTCACACTGTCCACCAGTAGTCACACTGTCCACCAGTAGTCACACTGTCCACCAGTAGTCACACTGTCCACCAGTAGTCACACTGTCCACCAGTAGTCACACTGTCCACCAGTAGTCACACTGTCCACCAGTAGTCACACTGTCCACCAGTAGTCACACTGTCCACCAGTAGTCACACTGTCCACCAGTAGTCACACTGTCCACCAGTAGTCACACTGTCCCAGTAGTCACACTGTCCACCAGTAGTCACACTGTCCACCAGTAGACACACTGTCCACCAGTAGTCACACTGTCCACCAGTAGTCACACTGTCCACCAGTAGTCACACTGTCCACCAGTAGTCACACTGTTCACCAGTAGACACACTGTTCACCAGTAGACACACTGTCCACCAGTAGTCACACTGTCCACCAGTAGTCACACTGTCCACCAGTAGTCACACTGTCCACCAGTAGACACACTGTCCACCAGTAGACACACTGTCCACCAGTAGACACACTGTCCACCAGTAGACACACTGTCCACCAGTAGTCACACTGTCCACCAGTAGTCACACTGTCCACCAGTAGTCACACTGTCCCAGTAGACATGCTGTCTATATTTAAGGACATTTTATCTGTCCCTTTAATAATTTGTACAAGATTATCAATTATCTAGCTACAGATATCTCACTTGGGCATCCAGTGGTGTATTTGTAAGCATATTTGGGCTGGGTGGAATAATTGGGCACAGTTACACCAATCCTTTGCGTGTGCGCTCCCAGCGGTAATTGGCGACCATGATACATAATCATTGGTGTATTACACTCTGTGAAAAAATTGTACTAAATAACCTGTACCTGGTTTAAAGTCTAAATCCCAACATAACATTAACGTAATGTACTGTATTGTCTTTTTCTAGTGTTGTATTTCTTTGATAGTAGCTTGGTCGGATCTTGAGCCCCTTCCTTCAGTGTTCTCGGCAATATCTTGTTCGGTGTCATTGTCACATTTATATCCAGCATTTTCCAGCACTTGATCAGCTCTTCTTCCATGATTCTGTATTCTAGTATTTTTTGTTGCAGTACTGCTCTAGTCCAGCTGTTGTTCTTGCTGAAGTGCAATACCTCCCGGAATCTTTTATTGAGTTACATACCTGGAGCATACCTGGAGAGGGTTCTAGAAGGAGTTCTACTCCCTGAGCCCGGCCTGAGGCCAGGCTCAACTTATAATTGCTTACTCCACTCAGGCTGTTGCTTGGAGAGGTGCGCAGACCCACTTATCCACTACAGCCTGATTGGTCTGGCAAGTGCCACACCAACCAGGTCTGGATGTACAGTATTCAAGTGCCTCTTGACTACTGTACATCCACCTTTTGTTCCAGCAATATTTCTAATATTTGCTGGGAGGGTGTTGAACAGCTGCAGACCTCTGATGTTCAGACAGTGTTCTCTGTGCCTGTGGCACCTCTACTCTTCACTGGTTGTATTCTTCATTTCCTTTTGTGTCTTTCACTCCAGTGTGTTGTTATTCTGTTGTGCAAATTTGAAATCTGGCCTTCAAGTATCTTACATGTATATAGTATTTTATACCTTTCTTGTCTCCTTTCCAAAGAATACATTTTGAGAGCTTTGAGACGGTTCTAATAATTCAATGTTTTATCATTTCTATGCATGCCGTATATGTTCTGTGTATTCCCTCTAATTCAGAGATCTCTCCTGCACACTGTCCCCAGTGTGTAGGAGAGATGAGGTGAGTACCGAGCAATACTCAAGACAGGACAGCACCAGTGATTTCAATAGCACCGTATTAGCATTGCTGTGGGGTCCCTGGATTTGAACAATCACATAATCCATCCTATTGTTTTTCCTGGTCGCCGCTATATTTGATCAATTATGTTCATTAAATGTCACGTCGTCAGGCAACATAATTCCCAGATCTTTTACATGTTGCTTTTCTTCTATGAGTAGGTCTGCTTGTGTCCTGTACCCTGTGTTTTGTTTAAGTTTCTCATTTCCACCATACCTAAGAACCTGGAACTTGTCACCGTTAAACATGTGTTATTTTCAGTTGCTAAATCGAAGACTTAATTAATACCTGCCTGCAGTTTTTCAGTGTCTTCTACAGGATAAATTTTCATGCTGATTTTTGTATCATCTGCAAAGGATGACACGAATTCTATGACGCGACTAGTATTTTTGTCTATATCTGAGATAAGAATGAGAAATAGAAGCGGTGCAAGGACTTTACCCTGGGGTACAGAGCTTTTCACTGCACTTGGGCTTGATCTTCTTTGATTGACCATCACTTTCTCCATTCTGTTTGACAAAGTTGAAAATCCTCTTTAAAATCTCACTTTACCTCTTAGCCCATAAAATGAAATCAATAGGAATATCACTCCATGGTCACATTTGTCGAATGCCTTTGCAAAGTCTGTGTATACAACATCTGCATTTTGCTTTTCTTCTAAGGCTTTTGTGATTTTGTCATAGTGGTTGAGTAACTGTGAGAGACAGGATTTTGCTGCTCTAAATCAATGTTGTCCTGGGTTGTGTAGTTCATTATTTTTCATAAAACTGGAAATTTGATTCCTAATTACTCTTTCGAAGACTTTTATTGTGTGTGATGTTAGTGCAACTAGTCTATAATTTTTTGCTAGAGCTTTACTATCCCCTATATGCAGAGGAGCTATATCAGCTGATTTTCCCGAGTTCTTCCCCTACGTTCTTGTTATTACACCTAAGTAGTCTTATATTCTTATTTTAAATTATCACTTGGTGCCTCAGAGACATTATTGTTCTTTGTAGCTGTGAGTAGTTTGAGGTGTTCCTTTACCAAGGCAGCTGTTAGTTTTGCATTATTTCCAACTCTTTTCTCTCATTTCCTCCGGTACACTTCCTCTGCCTTTTCATATTTTTGTTCTTAATCCATGCTGAACCTCTGCCTGTTTTTATTGTTTATTAATGAAGCTCTGTCTCTTAATATATATTCCAGTTTTTTTTTAGACTGTGATGCCTTGCTGCTGTTTCATATATATTTGTGTGAGTTGTTCCATCCCCTCCTGTGATCACCTCCCAGTCAGGGTCTATTTCGTTCAAGTTTTGCATTCTACATAGCACTAATTTTTGAAGTGCTGTCTCCCATCTGTGTCTAATTTATTTTCCACCAGTTAGCATTCTCTGGTGCAAACAAGAAATGCGATAATGTTAGTTTGTATATAGTGCAGTGATTGAAGTTTTGCCCGTGTGCAGCATTTTGGGCAGTGTCGGTGAAACTAGATGATTCCGCTAGACGTACTGTATGACATGTGATGAATTAGACGAATTAAATCCTGGGTGATTACGTTGTCTAATGGTGGAAAAACTCACAGTGTTGCAGATGCACGCATTGGACGCCAGGAGATAAAATAGATGTGAGAACCAAATCAAGGATTATAATAAAATAGATTGGTCATATCGAGGAGTATGTTGGTATATGAAAGAGGACCTTGTATGCTCGCAGCTCCTTAACTCTACAAAT